AATTTAGAAAATTGAGATTATCTGGCAAAATCGAAAGGCTAGATGGAAGACCTCAAATATCTCTTCAACTTGGACTCCCTACTATATTAATAAAAAAAGTAGGGCTGAGAGGACATTCATTCTCCCTCCATGTTCACGTTAGTGTTAATACTGCAGAGAACAGGAATTTCTAGAGGTATCAAGATATTCTCCATACATGGTTGTAGCCGTTGATGTCTAGGCTTTGTATAGTTCACCAAGTTCTCATCTTGATACCTTTTCAAAGCAACATGGAGGAAAAAAGTCTGATGCCTACTCTGGAATGTCAAGCTGGCAGATTTTTCTTAGGAATTTCTGCTTTCCCTTTAAAACAAGACCATATCTCTAATAAATAAAAGTCATGAAATATTAGGTCTTGTGTAAATTCACGGATAAAATAAACCTCTATTTCCATAATTATTTAACTTTATTTCTAATTGGAAATTTAAAATTTTTCTATCAGTGAGGTTTAATTTTTCCTGAGGCAGTTATAAACCTGGCTTTTTGCATAACCCAAGTAACTAACTTAAATTGTCATGATGTATTTATCTGTTTACACTCTAGTCTTCCTATACCAAAATATAACCATTACTTATGTGGATGTTGTGAACATATTTTGCCTCTATTACTAAATCTTATATAAACATATAAGAAAAAACAACGGGAAGAATTTGCCATTTAAGGATGTGAGCAGAAAGGGAAGAGGGCAGAATCCTTTCTGATGACCATGGTTTCCCATTTTACCAAATAATGCTATGGAGAAATACTCTAATAGCAAGTTAACTTCAGCATCAAATTGGTATTAACTGATCAACACTTAAGTGCACATATAGTAATAACATTCATCAGGTGTCGGGCGGATGGGAAGGGGGAGAAGGGGATGGGTATACTCACACCTAATGGGTGCGGTTTACACCGTCTGGGGGATGGACACACTTAAAGCTCTGATTTGGGTGAAGCAAAGGCAATATACGTAACCTAAACATTTGTACTCCTGTGATATGCTGAAATAAAAAAATAAAATAAAATAAAGAATAAGCATTACCTGAAAAAAAAAAATACAAGTTAACTTACCTGGACCCACTTAGGTTTCTGGAATAGCATACTAATGCTACAGAAATGTTGAGTCCCTCAAGCTGCTAACTGACCTACTTCCCTCCTTGAAATGGAGTTTCACACTTTAGTGTGGGCTGGCAGGTTATGCTGCAGCTGCATAGCTTCATGGATGAGAATTGTGTTTCCATCTGTGAGAAAATGCATTAAAGGCTTGCTTCTTTACCTTAACTTGGAACACAGTTTATGGATTCAGATTTCACATTTTGCTAAGGGTACATGATATCTGAAGAAAACTTTCACATTTTTTTTTTACTTTTTGTATTTATCATGGTAACTTTTCTTTTCATAGCCATGTTCACTGCCCACTTCCAATGAGATTTCTCCAATGTCCCCCAGACCTGACTGGAAAAAGTCAGTATCTTGATGAAGCAGATATATTTTACCTAAATCCCTTAAACTGGTTACATAAAGAGTTTCAGGATGATGCATCATTGCCTACTCACTTGATCATCTTCAGCGTTTTGGAGGAGGTAAGTAAACATGAAAAAGAAGGAAGCTCAGTATTTTTATTTACCTCTGGTATAGCAAACACTCAGGTAAATAGACATAACCTTTTTTATGGTCCCTTTCAACCCCCATATTTGATAATTGGTCTTTTCCTCAGTCGAAATTAGCCCCAGTTCTGTAACTATCAAGATATTTTACTTACCACAAATTAATTCTTTAAGAAATTTTATTGTTTTATTAAGAAAAAAGTTATAGAGAAGCAATTACAATAGGCAATTCTAAAATTCACCAATGAAACAGTACTCAGCAAAATGTAGCCTTTATTTTACTTAAACATTTATTTACTTCTAGGAAATAAGCACTTTCCTAATTTCAAGCAATTATGAGAGAACTGCTGTTTTCTTCCACACTCACTTGCCCGAGGGTCGAATTGGAAGTCACATATATGTCTATGAACGGAAATTCAAAGGGAAACTCAACTGAAGATGAAATTCTGAACTGTTTAGATCCTTCCTACAGAAACTGACATTGCTGAATGGAAATATTTAGATACTGCTTAAATACTTTAGTAAACACTGGGTAAGATTCATGGAACTTGGAAAAAAAACACTATGAACTGCTTTACCAAATATCACTACTGAGGAAATAAAATATCACATAGTATAAAACCACATATTAATATAATGCCAGATTTTAAATAAAGACCTTTAGTTTTCCTCATGGTGTAGTTTTATTGTTTCCGCCACAATATTCAGATGTGCAAGAAATTTCACAAGAGAACAAGTCAGCAAGCTCAAAAGAGGGCAGCAAATTCTTCACAAGTCAACGGGCTCTTGAACCCACAAAAAGACAAGAAGCAAATATAAGATTATAAAATGTTAAAGATGAAATTCCATCACAATGTACTTTTTTCAAGCTCTACTGCAAATTTAACACAAACATCAGTGTTAATTACACTTTGTCATGTATGATTTGAGCTTACTTTAAGCTCATACATTGAAAGGAAGTCTCATTTCATGCACAAAATCTGCTGCATGCCTGGCTTCCTTAATAAAACTACTGTTGAACATTTCCAGTGCCAAAAAAATTCAACAAAGCTAAACTACAGGAAAATGCAGTTAGTAGGCTTTTGATGCTTCTGAGTAATAATATAAAGTCATCAAACTGATACTTAAAAATGAAGGAAAAAAGACATTGTCATCTTGATAATTTCATCTTACATCTTAGTTTTAACACCAAACATTGTAGAAAGCATCCATGTCCCTTACAGTTTTCTAATTTAACTTAATCATGAATTTAATATTTAGGATCAAAAGGTAATTGCCCCAATTCTATTTCAAGATTTGCCATGTATCTTCCATTAGTGCGACCGTATTTATGCCATTTACCTTCCCTTTTACAAGGCTGTGGCTGAAGATGCTTCTGCTCTTGTTTTCGATGCCTGGCGTTTTCAATATTTACCATACGTTGCTTTTTATCAGGTCGACTGAAAGCAGTAAACACATTTTTCATCTATGTTAGAGTTCAATTTATTTAAATTAAAAACAATTTTAATGTTTTCCTCCATTAATCTATTACCTGAACACTGAAAAAAGATGTTAAATTAATCTGAAGTATAATTCTAGTATATCTATATAAAAAAATTAAGGATTCAGTATTACACTTTTTTTTTTTTATCCTATAGCAAAGAAAAAATAGACAAATATAACTGTCCTGGCAAAAAAGGGAAACATGCAACATAAAGAATAGAAATGTGACAATAAAATAATGAGATGTGTTTCCATTATTTTTCCTCCTTTCCTATAAAAATCAATCCCTCCCCACTGGCTTTATCCCTCAGCAGAAATATATACACATCTCTTATAAACAAAGCAAAGCAAAAGTCTCTTAACTTTTTCTCTTACAACAAAAGTTCACAAACAATGTCTATACTGCTTTTTTAAGGCCCTATGATCAGGCATCTTTCACTACTTCACTATAAGTCCATACTGCCATTAATGGCCACCCAATTCCCAAGCCAAGAAACATTTTTCCAGCCAACTTTTTTAAAAGCATATGACACATTTAAATATTTTTTGAGTTGACCTTTGGATTTTCATGGTGCCACTCGTCCTCTCAGCCTCCTGTACAACCTGACAGATGTTTATGTTCCCCTAGGAGTCTGATAAATACCTCCAGCCTAGACTATCTACACTTACACAAAGAGTCTGGGCACAAGAGATGGCCATATAATTAATTGCCCACTGACCCTCTACACTTCAATGTCAATAGGTACTTCCAAATACTCATCTCCAATTCCTCTGGCCCAAAACCTTCTGGTATTCTCTATCTTAGTGATACCACTATCCAACAGGTGACCCAATCCACAAATCTAGACGTCACTGTTACTTCCTACTTCTTTCACAAGAAATACCATTTTACCATCTGTTCAACACTATGTCCTCCTTTCTACTCCTACTACTATTGTTCCAGTTCAGGTACTCATCAACTCATGCTGGTATTGTACTGACTACCTTCTAGCTTCACACCTTTCCCATCAGTCCTCCAGGCTGCTGCCAATACAGTAGTCCCCTCTTATTCACAGTTTTACTTTCTGCAGTTCGGGTGGTCAACCGCAGTCTAAATATGTTAAATGGAAAATTTCGGAAATAATTCTTAAGTTTTACACTGTACACCCATTCTGAGCAGTGTGATGAAATCTCATGCTGTCCCACTCTGTCCCACCTGGGACTTGAATCATCCCTTTGTCCAGTGTATCCACATTACCTGCCCATTAATCACTTAGCAGTCTTGGTTATCAGATCCACTGTTGTGGTATCACAGTGTTTGTGTTCAAGTAACCCTTGTTTTACTTAATAATGACCCCAAAGTGCAAAAGTGGTAATGCTGGCAATTAGGATATGCCAAAGAGAAGCTGTAAAGTGCTTCCTTTTAAGTGAAAAGGTGAAAGTTCTCAATAAGGAAAAAAAATCTGTATGCTGAGGTTGCTAAGATCTATTACAAGAACAAACCTTCTATTTGTGAAATTGTGAAAAAGGAAAAAGAAATTCATGCGTAGTATATATAGGATTCTGTACTATTCCTGGTTTCAAGCATCCACTGGGGTTCTTGGAATACATTTCCTGAAGATAAGGGGAGACTACTGTAATCCAAAATACTTATCTCACCCCACTCCAAAATTCTTCAGAGGTTCTCCATGGCCTACAGGACAAATCCTTTCGCATAAAGTAAGGCCCTTCATGATCTGAATCTTCCTTTATTCATTGCCCAGCACTATCCTGCTTCCTTAAAGTAGTTATGTCTTCACATCTCCAAGTCTTTGCAAATGACCTTCCCTTTGAGTGAAATGCCCTCCCCCAACTACACAGCAAATTCTCATTTCTCTTTCAAAAGTTAATTTAAAAACCAAGTTCAGTTCAAAGGCCACCTCACTATATGAAGCCTTTCCAAACATCTCCAGCCAGCCTGAGGCCACCATATACATGCCTCCATACCTTCATTTCATTTCTTTTATTTAACTAGCTTGTAAGTTCCTTTATAGCAAAACTTTTTTCATTTGTTTCCTCAAGGCAGCCTCAGAACACTTTATTCATTATAGCACTAGATATCTGCTTAATGACTAAAGACACCAGAATCAGTCTCATTATTTTATAGACACATTACATTTATTCAGAAAGATATAAGTATCTCAAAGGTAAAAAGTGAAGCTAACATTTCAAGATTAGGCAAGTTTCATGTTACAGAACATAGAGCTGGTAAACAATGGATAAAAAGTTATTATGAAACACACAAATTAGAATTTCTGGCTTGCCAAGTTTGCCTCTTTGATCATGCCTCTACTTTTACCAACAATTCTATAATAAGTATTTAAGTATCATAATTAAGCTAGTATATTCAATGGACAAATGGAAAGAGATGGGATATTAGAATTGTTATGTATGAGCTCTTCTGATTTCAGAGTAAAATTTATGTTGTTCACTCCTAGCTTCCTTAGGTGAGTAAATAAATAAAAGATTACAGGAAAATAACTTCCCTTAAGGTAATTATCTTTCATTAAAAATACACTTAAAAGAAACAAAATATACCAAAATAGGATTTATATATCCTTAACTGATTTTTAAAAGTCTGATGTTCTATCGACTGAGCTACCCAGGCAAAAAATTGATTTTTAAGGTAGAAATTAAATCAAGTCCAAATGATTATGTGACATGAAATTTTCAGCTTCTAATAGCTATAATTTTAAAACTCAATTTATTCTAAATTCTCAGTGGCAATAAACCATATCTTACAAATATTAACCTTTCAAGAAATTCATCAAATCAAAATGCTATCCAATCTACGAATGTTAGAAACTACTATAATAACATGGTTTTATGTAAACCGACCTGGGTCCATATGGAGGGGAAAAAGTTTGACCAAAGAAGTGTCTATAAATATATTCATCCAACTTCTCAAACACTCCATCATTATCTACTTGATATTCCTTCATGTCTTTAAGATAATCTTTAACATCATTAACAAAGTCAGTGAAGAGCTTCTGATCATGTATAAAGACACCATTTAGGAAAAAATTATTGATAAAACGATCAAGTTCTTTCCAATGATGAAAGGCATCCAGCTCTTGTAATAAGTACCTTTCAATTAACCGTCTAAATTCATCTATCCTTACAGGATTCACCACTGTATTAAAAAGGCTCATAGATTCTTGTCGAGCACATTCAAATACACCAGAACACGCCTTTCTAAAAGGGTAATTTTCCCTACAGTCATGCTCAGCAGTGCATTTCTGTGAATTTGTATTTTTTCTGAATTCTTCAAAGTGAACTGGCTTCTCTTTCCTTCCATCTCTTTGCCTAGTAGGGCCTCTACTATTCTGGTTCTGTGTAGGTGCTTTATACTGTGGATGTAAATAGTCACTAAAAATTGTTCTTGATTTTTCAGCTGCAGCTTCTTTTGTAGCACCATATCTTTTATTACCCTTTTCATCGAAGATATTCTTGGTGGTATCTTTAAAATGTCTAAAGGTAGATTTCACTGAATCTGAGAATTTTTTCAGATTTTCCTTCACAGCTTCTTTAGCCTGCTTAATTTTTTCTTTATGATGCCTCACAAACTCCTTGGTAGAATTCTTCATGGCATCAAATGTTTCCTTAACTGAACCGAAAAATGTTTCCTTTGACTTATTTTTAGCCCTGTGGTTTCCTCTACCCCCTTTCTTTTTTCCATCACCTTCTTTTCCATTTTGTTCTTTTGCCTCAACATACAGTCTTTCCCACAAATCAGAACGCTGCTGTTCAAAGTTAAGCTTCCGCTCCAGCTCAGTGAGTCTTTCCCGTAAGATTGCTATTTCCTTTTGTTCAGTTAATACACTGGAGGAATCTGAGTTGCCATGTGACTGACTGGCACTTAGTTGCTGGAGTTCCACCCTTAAAGTCGTGGTTATTAGTCGTTCTCTCTCCAGTTCCCTCTTTAGCATCTTTGCTTCTGCCAGGAGAGTCTCCCTTTGATTAAGGAAGCTGTGCTTTTTCTGCTTTTCCTCTTCCAAATGCTGCTTAAGTTTCTGATTTTCTTTAACTAATTCAGTACTTGTTCCTTTATCTTCCAATATGCTAATCTGTTCTCTTAGTTTACTTAACTCTTGCTGTAATGAAGACAAGGCTTTTTCTTCCTTCTCCAAAGATTTTCTTAAATGCTGATTTTCCATAGCAAGGTTCATT